CACACACACACACACTCACTCACTCAACATCTGATTCAGTGTTTACTTGTTCATATAATTTAGTTACTGTGAGTAAAAGTACTCAATGTAGTAACAATACCACAGTAAAAGTACTGATCCCATTTTAACTTGTACATGACAAAACATATAAAACCAGAACTGAGCTCATGATGACGACATTAACCAACAAACCCAGAAACCCTGAACACGTTGTGTTAACGTTTTCATGTGAACCGTCCAATCAGAGACGAGTGGACGACCTCCCGTCAAACATGTGGCTCCAGATCACCTGCCTGAGGAATCCAGCACCTGTCCTCTAATTGACTGCTTTAATGACGGTATGTGTCTTTGTGTGTGTGTGAGTGTGTGTGTGTGTGTGTGTGTGTGTGTTAGTTTTCCATAACAGTTGCGACATGTTTCTAGAAACTCAGCGGCTCGATTGTCATGTGAAGAAAACGTTGTGTCTTCATCCAAAGTCAAACCAGAGAACATCTCTACTTCCTGTCGAAGGCTCAGTTCTCAGTCTGCTCGTGTTTATGATGATTTTCTTTATTGTTTTTAGTTTTTATCTGGGTAATAAATTACATGTGTAACTTTCACTGAAACTTTGCAGGAAATTCAGATGTGTGAAACATTTACATGTCAAATGTTTTGAAGCATGGGTGTGTCCAATCAATTGACTCAACAGTGCCCCCTAAAGTGCAGCACAGTGTACTGTAACCAAAATGGTTTCCCGTGAGGGGCCAGGCACTGGTGACCATTATTTGTAATAATCCAATATCAAAGTATAATTCTAGCAAATGTAAAGGTGCAGTCGAGGACTTGAGTTCAACTAGAGTCTTTAAATATGGTTTACCAGCTTGAAGTAGCATTTTGTTGTTAGAGTTGACTCCTCCGTAAAGGCAGTGTGTGCTGGGTGTGTGAAGGACCCAGACAGATGTGATTGTAATGTCCTTTAACGTTTACTGTTAGCAGCTGACACAGGAAACAGGCATGAGTTCAGAAACACCCGGAGCACAGAGGTCGGAACAGAAGGCTGAGGTGATTATATACTGGTCTTTATACCGGCTTGATGGTGATCTAGAGCAGTTGTGGAAACAGGTGAGCGCAGTTAAGCCGATGAGGTGGACATGGCTGACAGGGTGAGGAGGGTCGGTGGTAAAGTGCTGGATGAATGGGGAGGGGGATGAGATATATGATGCAAAACTATGTTCACGAACATGTGAGGACAAGTCTGCCAAGATGCTGACGACGACACAGTCTATAGCTTTTCTGGTTTATCTTGTTTGTCAGCATATAAGTTGAAAACACGCTGGTGTGAAAGACAGTCAACCACTTCATCATGGCCGTGAACATCCCAGGATTGATACTGATGGTGCTTTTCTACCTGTTGGTCCTCGGGACCGGCRTCTGGGCTTCTTTCAAGTCCAAGAGGGAACGGAAGAAAAGTGGAGCCAATAAAATGGAGATGGCGTTACTGGGAAACCGGAGCATCAACTGGGTGGTGGGGATCTTCACCATGACAGGTGAGGACAGCTCAGCTGAAGACAACAGCATGGAAACTGTGAGAAAACATGGTTATTAGAATCAGAATCCTTTACTGTCAATGTTCAACATTGTCACCAACATTAAAAGAGTGAAAATTGTTTTAGCAGTTCTTCTTGTTACAGCAGCAATTATCAGATTTTTAGAAATCAGAACAAGAATCAAGAAGTAAAAATGTGAATGTACCTTTTTTTTAATAAAAACACAGCTAGAGGTGATGAGTCTTTCCAAACATTTGGTTATGAATTAGGTAAATACTGGTGATGGGGCAGGTTGTATGCTGCACAGGTCACTGGCTGGAACAAACTAAAAGAGTTGCAGTACCGGATCTAGAAATGGGCAAGGGTGGACCATGGCCACCCAAACTTCTGCTCTGCCCACCCAATTGATCAACAATATTCTCTTCACCATGCTGGGTTAAACAACCCAGGCCGCCATGAAGGCGAGGAAACGTCAGCCGGTCTGTTATTACTTGTCCTGCACTTCTCAAGCAGAGGCGGATACTTTAACATCTTCCTCTCAAGAGCTTCTTCTCAACCCTCCTCCTCCTCTGTGGGAGGAGATGTAACGGACTAAGTGTTCAGGATGTGACCAGCAGGTGGCAGCAGGGCCTTTCACATTCACCCTCATCAAGCTGCATCTGAAAGATGTTGAAGTTGTGAAGGCCTGAGAATTATTGTTTATAAAAATACAGGTATTATAACGATCTTAAACTCAGTTAAACGTTGATGTTCACATTCATTCACTTATTTAATTACAGTTGTATCTAAAATCTACTAAAGTGTGAAACTTTGACTGAATGAAAATCATCTCCTACCTGATGTGTTTATTTAATAACAAGCTTTATTTATATGGAAACTTTCAAAACAATTCAAGATGCAAACACAACTTTAGTTTTTAAATATTCTATGAGAGTTTTAAAAATCAGCTCCTGTTGTTTTTAATTTAAGTGTGTGTGTGTGTGTGTGTCTGTGTGTGTGTGTGTGT